GTGATTACCGAGACCTGTATGTTTTCTAAGACTTTGGATATAGATAAAGATATTTTTGTAGCTTAGACCGAGATATTAACGACTACCATAACACTGGAGCCGGTTTCGTCACCACTAACCAAACAATGCTTATAATCACTGACTTCAATGGAGTAGATTGTAGAATGGCAACTGTCAAAATACACTGTAAGAATATCGACCACACTATCAGCCTTATAGGTTGCTGTGCTTCGAATTGTTCCCCAAGTGAAGACATCAGAAAAGAACAATTCCATCTAAAACTTAAAAAACCAATTTAGGAAGTACGAGTAGATAAATTTGATGTGATATTATTAGGTCACTTCAACTTCAGGCTTAGTCAGGACCTTCATCTAATATAATAGGGTAAGCTATTGCGCTTGAATCTAAGACATTGGCTAATGACATAAGACTAATAAACTTATGCGAAACTTTGAACTTACGAGTAATAAATACTTTCATTACTAAATTGACAAATATAGCCATCACTTGAGTATATTCAAACTCCCTAACCAAACATATGATGGACCTAGTAATAGTAAATAATAACTCTAACTTAATGGTATGTGATATGCAAAACAGCCGTTCTGCGGAGGCTAACTGCGATCATTACACGGTAACAACAATAGTTAAACTAAAATACTTAATAGAAATAACCATTACATGGATAGGAAGCCCACAAAATACTCTACTATACTCGATAAGGTCTATATAATGTTAAGTTAGAAGTAAAATCACCTAAACTACCTGTAAGGGATACCCAAGATCCCGAACTAACGTTGCGAGGATAAGAAATAGTTCTAAAAAACAAGAACCAAAAAACGCTTGGTAACAGTAGCATTACTTCTGAAACTCTTAAGTATGGAGGAAATAAACTAAATAAAATACTACTACGCATAATGAATGAAATGTGGAAAAGCACAAGCACTATGCTGGACCGCTGGAAAGATACTGATGTAATTATTATCTATAAGAATAAAGGACTAAGACTTGATCCTAAGGACTACAGAATTATCTTTCTAATGGACACAATAGGGAAACTATTTGCAGGCACAGTCTAAAAAATCTGGTACAATTAACTGATAACCTTCTTCCAATAACTCAGTTTGGACTTTAAAAAATTGGCTACTACACATGTTATAATCACATTAAGGCATATAACACAGAATGCTCTAGACACTAATCGAGTTTAGTGTTAACCTTTGTAGATTTAACCAAGGCCTTTGATACTACACCTAAAAAACTGATCCTAGATTCCCTAGCTATAACTTGTCCATACCATAGGTTTAAACTTAAGTGAACAATTAAACACTTAGAATATACTGATGACTTATGTTCAATTACTACTACTACTGCTACCACAGAAGAGGCTATTAGGACTTTTAATAACCTAAAACACTACCTCGGAAATTTAGGCATGGAAATATCAATTTCCAAAGCCAGATTTATGATAATCAACCAGTCTAGTAACCAACCTATAGTTACCATAGATATCAGACAAATAGGAGTGGAGTTTTTCAGTACTAAGGGTCGACTATTAATAATAAAGGGACTCTGGATAATGTGATAACAACTAATATTGCTAAAGCTGCCTTCTTTAATTAGGATCAGACCAATACTTAAAACTAAAGTCAGACTGGTTAGGGTTTAGTGTTAGGGTTAGGACGAAAAACTACTTACAAAGTGCATAGGCAAACCAACCAAAGTTAAAATCAGTGCGTATAATTAATATTTTCCTCAAATAACAGGAAAATGTTTATTCAATCATGTCTGTCAAAATACAAGCTTCAGTAGAATGCTTACCGCGATTGAAGAAATGAATCGATATTATAGGAAAGATCACCAAATAAAATTTAACGCAGTAGAAAAGTGCAGCTGTCCTCTTCTTTGCTCCCTCCTTGTTGAGCTCCAGTGATTCCTCAATATATTGACTTGTCAGAGTAGAATAGTGTTGGTGGGCTAGTTTTATTTTGAAGTTTGTTGACAAGGATGAGAAGTAAATGTAAAGTCGTTTCCAACGAAACTCCCGATGCTCAGATATCCTAACTAGTGTGTTCTCTGTCCAATAGGTTACGCTGACTCGTCTTAGAATGAATCGGTTTGGAAATGAATAAACTGATTGAAGAATACGGTGTCAAATATTTTAAGTAAATCTTCAACAAAAAGTCACAAATTTCAAGAAATTAGATAGTACTTGTGTGTTTGTAACGGTCATGATATTGAATACTGGAATTAGTTCAATAAATCAGGGTCACACTCCTGCCCAGGTCCCTCTTCATAGTAAAACTAGTAAGTAAAAATAAAATAGGAGAAAAGGGCGTCCCGAACTGCCCGTGGTAGATAAATAAGGCATAAACGTTAATCGTATAATATGCTTCTTGTTTGTCTAAGCCAGTTGACTGTGTTCACTGTTGCCATAATTCTTAAGTACCTAGGCAGTGTCATTGTTCAGTTAAGTCTCACCTGTCCACGGTTTTGGTATGCTTGTTTACAGTGCTGAAGAAATACACCGAGGGAACTAATAAAAGAGAAATGTAATATTTCAGTGGAGGCAATCATATCAATCACCACCAGTATACCCCAAATAGTCAAACACAGGCCCAAACAAGCACTCGACTATGGGAACTATGGCCTGAACCCATACACCAGTGAAATTACTGACTGTTACTAATACATCAACATCTGTTAGCATCAAGGGGGAGTGTATGGCCGTTCGGAAGAGAAATGGAAAGAATATTTTTCCAAAAACGCCAAATCAGAGGAAAATACGTTTGATAAGACTCCCTGGATTTACTTAGTGTCCAGGTATCGGAGAGTAGCTAAGTAGAAAGTAGGATGGCCTTTAATAAAGAACAGTGGGACAAATCCTGTACAATTCAGGGAAAGGGTGTCACATCAGACAAGTTATTCCGCCTAAGGGCAGACGCGCATCAAAGGGTAATCATCCAGTTCACGGTAGGAGAAGAAATCTTGATGACATCCGAGCGACCATTGAATAAGCTACCCTCTCAAATCTGAGTAGAATGCGACAAACCATTTGTCTTAAAAGATGCCACTAGATCAGAGAACACCCAAAAATCGATATGCATGGTGGTACACGGAGTGTTCAAACTGGTAGGTAGTGGGAGGGATTAACCACACAAACACGATTTGCAACAGTACCATTGGCTATCGCGTAGTATGGGCCTTCACATTACAACGATGTTCGGCGCGGCCAGACCACCCCATCTGATTTATCTCACCACCATCAAGTTTCTGAGTTTGATAACTGCGAACTCCAAAAATCGGTGGGGACCTAATTGGGGCTGTCCAGGCCTGGTACAGTTAGAAAGACGATCTCTTCAGTCACACCAGATGTTGTGAAGGTTGATTAAGGTCGATGGATCAACGGGAAAAATGCTCAATAAGACAAACATTGTTATCGGTTGACCCTGATCAGCAATTCACGGAACACAACACAGAAACCACGGTCCCGCTAACGGAAATGCTATACAGGCAAAAAAGCTCAGTGGCCAGTTCGCACAAAACTGGCTAACACAATTTAAACAACAATGCGCTACAGACTTTGAAGACCAGTGTTGCTATAGAGAAGCACCTGGTGATGAGACGAACCATTAACTGTCCCCGGAGCAACGTAAGAGAACTAAGGGGTGAACAAGGAGAAATCAGAAGCTCATGCTTCCAGTTAGATCTGAAGATCATAGTTCTGACTGAAAAATGGCTATCGCACAACGTCAAGGATGAAGAAGTGTGCTTGTAAGGTATGACAATTTTCAGATACGGTAAGGTTCACGAAACAGGAAAATAAGTCGCTATATACATTGGCAGTCATTTCGTTACCAGAACATAGTCACCACACACCACAAAGCTACCTTAGAAGGATTACATATTAAAGAGAGAACACCTAGACACACTCTCAATTCTCATTACGAATTGTCCCATTTGGAATCCCTTCTCAGCCTAAGTGATGGCAGCCAACTTAGTGAGTAGCCTTATGAGGAGACTTAATAAACAGGTATTCACCCATGGATCACAATCTACGCCTTGAACCAAATGTCTGATGCATGTCTCATGATTTACGATTGTTATCAGTACTATGTGTCAGCAACTACTTCCTGTATTTTCTATTATCATCTCAATTAGTGCAGTAGAGTGGCTAGGCTACGAACCAGTGAACATTATTCAATACCTGAAAACGTACCGGAACAGCAAGAAGCAAGCACGAGAGAATCAACCAATTTACACAAGCTGGTGACAAAGATATTGGTTAAAAAACGTAGATGTAGCATTAGTTGTTCCTTCCTGGAGGTATTGGTGGTCCATTGCTACTAGAGACCGAAGCCCGTTAAGCGAAAGCTTTTTCTATTCCGTCCACTGTAACGCGGGTAATCAGCAGTTAATGAACAACGGATCAGATCTAAAATTGCAACACACTGGGTTAGCTCAACACTTCACACCAAGAGAGAACACGAAGTACGGTCACGGCACTCTTTATTTTTAAAATTAAAATTACGCGGGGTTGTTACAGGAAAAAGGGGGGCTAGTGTACCAAAGTCTTATAAGTGATCCTGTAAGTTCAGAGCACTCAGGGCTTGTTCTTTAGCTTCCAAAGCGTTTATGTTTGGTCGCCCTGAAATAGAAAGAAAACAGAACGTGTTAGCAACATCACCATGATAATTCTAGCTCCGTTACACCACAACCATTTGAAATTTCCGCTATGAGCTTGGAGGGTGACAACACCGCGTTCGTTGAAGCCATATGAATTTTTAGTTGCAGTATGTCTTGGTTTACGTTTGTGAATTCTGACACTTCTAGATTGCCCATATCGAGATTTTTGTGTCGTTTTCCCTTACAGATTTGTTCATTATTTGAGTAAACTGTTGCAGATAAGCTAAATCAATCTAAACTCCTGTTCATATTACAGCTACCCGCCTAAAATTTAAATTCGTGTTGAAAACAGGACATTGCATTGTTCAGATTTAATGCTATTTGCTGAAGCCGTTGATAATAGCAAAAGTCTTGATGTTACCTATTGCCGTATCAAAGAGACAGGGTTTGGGTTATTCTACCTTAATACTTTTGTATTCAGGTCGTGTCACATTAATGTGTACTCGGATACTATTGAGATTCAGAATGCCAGTAAAACTCATCAAGTGACACTAAATGGATTGAATATATCGTGTATGACATGCAGGAATCTTTGCCAAGTTAATGACAGTACTTTGTCGTGCAGATTTAATGCGTCGTATAGCAGTCAGACATGTGACAACGTAACTAAATTAGGTAGAGTTATGAGTAACTTTACTGCAGCCGATTCCATTCTTTGCAAATTTTGCCAACAGAAGTTAGGAAATATGAAGTAAGCAAAACATTTTCACATACACGTTTTAGAGATGTTACTTGTACTATTAACTTCCAGAAATTTATCACTCTCGAGGAGGAAGGTTTATGTATTGAAGATGGCTACTTCTGTCATCCAACTACCAAGATCACTGAGGCCTTGGCTAAAAACTCCGTAAATACGCAGACTTTCCCAGTTAATTTAGATTCGGTTTCTCCATCTAACTGTTTGTTTACTGGTTTAGAACTAATGATAGATCGTTCGTTGCTTGAACTACATTCCATCCAGTCTAAAGGAAACGATTTCTTTCATTGTTCTAGTTGCTTAATGGCTTTGGGGAAAAAAGGTACAAACCACATTTCTTTGTTGTTTTTAGCGGAAATTTGATATAATAACAAAAGAGAAATATTTTGTTGGATAATATTTTAATTCTGTTTCTTGTAAAACAAATGATCTAAATCTATTCCCAGTTTCCGAAGTTCATCATATATATATATATATATATATATATATATATATATACTCCAAAGTAGTACATGCAGTCATACGAACCCAAAAGTAAGGTTAGTGGTAAGACGCTGTACTACTAGTAACGTATTTGTCGCCTTTATGAACTGACAAGCTACAACTTTTAAGCAAGTACTTTATACGTATTAGTTAAGACCAATAAATAACACTAGTTCCTCACTATTTTGAGTCCAAACCAACTTTATTCCGGCCGATCATTTCTCTAATGGTCACTGTATTTGTAATGAAAAAAAACTTGAATATATTGGGTTTCTCTCATTTCTATCGAGTTATAATTGTTGCTGTATGTTCAGTTTTGGTTATTGAACTCAAGTGGGATGCCTTACCTCCAACATACATGGGTCTGTTTCTGTGTCAGTACTTCTTTCACATATCTGAAGTACAGATCCTTAGTTTACTCTTTAAGTCTCAAATCGTCTAATTGCTCAGTAGAGTACCATATCTCATGTTAAGGAAATTCTTATTATTCACAGAACCAAAACTATACGAATGATTCCGATAGTTGCTGAATTATAGGTTGCTGTGTTCTTAAACCCATGATTTTCAACAGATAATTTTCTAACGCCGATAATTATTCAAATAAATCACTAAAAGAGCTGAACTGTATTTCCTGTCTAGTTTTCCATTAGCATTAATATTACCGTTTCAACCACTTGGCTATTGTTTTGTTACTTTTTCCCTCTTCACTGTTTTCAAGTGTTGTAACTTAAATCATTATACATTTGAGTGAAATCCCATGTCATTTGTGGCTGGAATGTATAAGAGCAGATAATTTGTTTACTCTACTAATATGTCAGTTTGCTTAACAATATATTCTGCAGTGAGAGACTAGAGCTTGGTACAAAAAAGCGTCTGAAATTCGACATATCAAATAAATTCATTACTTTCTCGAAGTTAATTTCAGATTACCATCGAGGGAGGTGCGAGTAAAGAAAATTCTTGTTTCTCATATATACATTTTTATTAATTGTTACGATATATTTGTCTGTTGTGTGTGCCCTTAATTTACTGTTCTTAAACGAATCTCGGAGATCATACATAGTTCAATTTCTTTTGATACGTCCATACAGTTATTTAATGATCTTGTTATTATTATTAGACCGCTTATTTCCCTGTACTCAACTAGAGAGTGCCAGTTTACTTATCCCATATTATTTTGGCTTAATGAACTTCTAAAGTTTTTTTCATGAAGCAAAATAAGTCTGTAACTATGAATACATAAATTATTTAAATCTTAGGTGTTTTCTAAATGATGTAATTCCAATTTCAACTGTTGACATCCAACCTTCGAGTGTAGAGTAAATGTTAATGTAGTCAGTAACTATAAAATGCATTACTCAGATATTTATCCTCTTTTGTAATTGTTAAATTTAGAATTAGGGTGTCAGACAAAGTAGTTAATCAGTTGATGAGGTTAAAAAGCCTAATCTATTCAGGTGGTTAGGACATATTTTACTTATCCTTAACTAAGACCTACTTTGACGAGGGATGATTGCTTATCCGGAACTAGATTAAATGGAAGCTAGGGGCGCCAAGCCAATACATAGCACCACTCCACGGACTCACTGTTGATATCAGTTATGTTGGTAGAAGCAGGCTACCTGTATGTGGTCCGCAAGATAACTGACCGGTAGTTGGAGACTTCGAGTGATATGACTCAGAATCATTCACAATGGTCTAAAGAGATTCATTCTTTATCTCTTATTGACTCGATATTTTGACTCCAATTAGATCAAACGTTGTTTTCAACGGGTTCACCACTTTAGTGACTCGAGGTTGGACTCCAATTTGATCGTTTCTGATTGTTATTGAAATATACATGTCGCCAATCGTCGTATATTAAATAAGTAAAATACGAGAATGAATTTTGAACACGCGTATTTCACACAATCATTGATCCAAACAAACGATCGAAGAGACGAGGCAAAGATAGCGAATTGAAGAGAACGAACCGGAACGACGCACAATAGAGGCGTGTGAGCCAACTCAATTTAACCAAGAGTGAATCGGTATTTATAGTCACGCAAAAATAAGTTACAGACGTGATGAATAGGATAAGAAGTGCACACACGCTCATATAAAAGCAGTCAAGATTGATAAGCGAATAAGTGACAAGGTCAAAATATGACTCAATTATAACGAATAAATTGACCTGTCCGGAAACTAGAATAAGCTATGTGGGCTTAACATAGCAGTCGGCGCTACAGTCTTCCAATCTTGAATTTAAGTATTCCGTCATACATTACTCATTTCGAACCATATTTTCAGACCTGAGTTTTCCTCGTCATCCCTACTACATCATTTCGATCTCTTGTTGTTTTCATCTCATGCTAATGTGGTACGACAACCAAAGTCAATATACATCTATGCCGGGCTACACGTTGATAATGTTCGTCTTTTTTTATAACTGTAGTTGACTTTTGTCACTTTATTCTTCATGTACTTTTTAGTCTTGTATGGCTCTCAAGAATACTTTGTATTTTGGGCTAATTGTTTAAGTTTACTAATTAGAGAAAATGATATTGATGGTGATTTTATTGGTTATGTTGAAAAGCCATTAATGTAAGTTTCGAATATAACCTTACCCCTTTTATATTTATTTTTAATTCGATAGTATGTTTAACAACTACATCTGTCTAGATTGATTGTTGTTAACTTTTTTTAGCTATTTTAAAACAAGTGGAAATCACTTATCAATTTTACATTTTGAAGTAATTGATAAAATATCATCCAGTAATCGCGACTAGTTATTTCTCGTTGATTACTGATCCTCTTCATTCAATATATCAATGATTTAGGTATTAAATTGTCAAGGCTTGATTTTGTTAAGTAATACTGAGAGAACGTCTTTAACGACTGAAGGTTAGATGTGATTTGTTCCACCCCTGATATTTCTTGGAGAATATTTAACTATGTAGTGCTACACAGTACGTCAGTCAGCTACAACGTAGGACCAGGCACATATATGCATCGGTTCAAATCGCCACACCTCATTAACACAACAGGGTGAACAACAAATTCATAGAAGCAGTTACTTCAGTGATAGTAATATATAAAAGGAAGATTGCATATAAGGATATAATACAGGGAGAAAAAATTACTTCGTAGAAAGGGAGGTATAAAGTAGTTTTAATCTCACGGTTTAAGGGAAGGCGAAGTGTGTATACACTTACGCCATTGTGATCGATCCTGAGCGATGTCACGCAGACCCCAACCAAGTAGTCTACCAAAATGGATCGAACAAGAATTTAGTGACTTCAAGGACTGATGCCATATTTTGGTTTGGTCGCCCATGACTTTCTTCCGTAGTGCTACTCAATGTATGACAGGACGCGAGTTGATATTAGCCAGAAATACTACACGTCATATGTACTTGAGTAAAATTTGGATTTTTGTGGGTAAAAAGATGATGCAAATTTTCCTTGAAACGAATCAAAGATGTGTTGGATTCTCAGGGAACTCAAACAGATTGACAAAGCAAATTGACACCAGTCAACTAACTGGTGGAATTACGTGTGTACTATCCAGCTCTTTCTGTATCAGTCAACTAGGACCAACGTAGGACTCAGAAAATATGTGCATCGGTCCAATTATCTACACAGCATCTATAATGCTAAATAAGGACTGCAAGAGGAATATCAAAGGAGTTAACATAGTAGTATCACTAAATGTAGAGTATATAAATCAAAGAGGATGAATATAGTTAAAGAATATGGAACTATGGATTAATATTAAAACTGGGAATTTAGATAAAGGTAAACAATGAATTAATCTACTCTATTCTGAACAATATCCTCTAATGTTTCTAACTATTGGTTATGATTATTGTGCAACTTTAAAAGAAGTTGAGAATTTTTGGAACCAAGTTTTGCAGACGTGAAATTCTAGTCGTTGGAGCTAAGAGGCGTCATACGTTATTTCCACGTAACGTTTTTATTTTATGAATTCTTGGTTTGCTTAATTTCTGTCCCTAGTTTGCATGTTTTGCTTATTGTACAAATGTGTTCCAAGCTGACCTCCTTTAATAGTAGTGATTTAAATAATCACCTTTGTTACCGGTTAAAAACACATCTTAAATACATCAAAGTTACTTTAACGTTACTTTTAGATAGACGGCATTCATTCCAGTGGACTAAAGTGAAACCGTGAATTTTAATAATATAAAACATTAGTTATATCACATATACTACTTAGTAGTAGCATGCAGTTTATAGGTTAACTTTTTTATGATACGAGTTTCAAAATATACTCCCCATCCAATGCAATACTGTACTTGACCTTAGTTGGTTTAAATGACCTAGTTTAAGATCTCCAAGTGATTTATGATTTGATGTCCATAACTTACATACATAATCTTCTGAATAAAGGTGTGGTTTTAAATCTATAAAGTCATCAACTGTTAGATTATTCCGTAGTGGTAGTTGTAGACTAGCTAGTTGTGGTCCTCACGATTAGTGATCTCAGATGCTAAGTAATGTAGTTTGAAATCGATTTCAGTTAGTCAGTCAACGTGGATCGATGGACATTTCTACCAGGTTCTATGCTGATTACATAATTAACTGACTACACACATAATCCTAGATATTCTAGCTTATTTAGTTTCCTTCTGCTTCTATCAATTTATGGTAACAAAAAGTCATTTTTTCTGTTCATTTTAATGGTCGCTGGTACTATTATCACTAACCGTGACGAGCAGAATCAGGCCTGTTACGTGGTGATTACCATTCAGTATTTGATATGATATCCGACAATTATATCTAACAATCAAGTATTAATTGATTGGAGAGTGTGTGACCCCGAAAACTGATTTTCTCCGATCGCTTATGACATTTTTCATATCTATTTTTTGTAAATATGTTTTATATAATCGGAACATTACATAAAAAATCTATTATTCTAACCGGTGGCCTCTTGTCTTTGGTTTCAAACCATTCGAGAAATTACGTTAGAAATTTGGTCTCATGAAGAGTTATCACTCGAGTACACATCGTATTATTGCTACCATGACGTGGTGGTCGGGCTTTCCTATAGTGATGAACCAATCGAGCTATATTGATTGTAACAATTGTTCTTTAAGGTCCTATCATGCCAAACAGTTTGGTTGAAGAGCGGTAAGTTTAAAAGCAGCAAACCCAAGGTCTGAAGACGAAGTCGTACTACTGACTGTACATGAGAGTGACGGTAGTAAGGTGTCTCCTTCAGACAACCAGCATTACAGTAATGCTGCCTTCCCACAAAGAGGGGTGGGGGTAGAAAAGGTCGACCCTAAAAATGCACACCTCGCCTTATCCCACGGATTTCCGTCTCTGGCGGTAAGATTCCAACAAGTACTGAACTAACATGAAAATTACTCACAAAACGGTCGTGTGACCGCCCACAAGCAGTTGTCCCTTGGGCACTGCGGTCACGCTTGCAGGTCAATAAGGCCACCTCCAACCCAATTTCCTTTTCAGATACCTCCAGAAGAACCCTTCCACGGTGGGGGCAACCGGAAAGTGATAACCACCCCATCCCTCTAACAGCATTCAAGACCATTGTATTGATAATCAATTTTCTTTTTCAATTCCAATGTTCCTCCTGCCTTGACTTTCAACTCAAGTATCACCATGGCTAACGATTTTAGTGCGCAAAACACCGTCTCATGTCTACTGAAACCTCACTCCAAACTACAAATTGGAGTCTTCAACGTACGCACCCTGTGTAAAATCGGCCAGCAGGTCTCCTTGGATAAAACCCTAGAATCTCGTACCATTGATGTATTCTGTGTCTGCAAGACACGCATACAAGATCCTAGTGTGGTCATTCACTTGACATTACCTCGCCAAAACGGAGAGCCGACGAGGTACACCCTCCGTGTATCTGGCGACCCGATGGCTCGTGGACTAGCCGGTGTAGACATAACACTAAGTATGAGGGCGGAACAAGCACTATTAGAGTGGATCCCCGTTAACAGTCGTCTGTGTGCTATTCGGCCAAACGGCTTCGGAAGCACTGGGACACACATCGTTGCTTTTTCGTCGTTTCTGCCTGCGCTCCCACTGCAGCCCGGGTGAAGTGAAAGATGAATTTCACAGAAAACTTTCTGAACTTCAAAAAGCTGAAAACTCAGACATAGTACTAGTTACAGGTGACTTTAATGCTTAAGTATGTGTTTAATTAGGTGTTTTAGTATTCCGGCTGGTAATCGTCTGCTGCAACTGTGCTCAAACATTCGCTTATTTTTAGCAAGCACTAATTTTAAGCATAAGGAGAGACATCGTCTAACATGGTGACCCCCTGCACCAAACCATCGATGAACTCAAATAGACCATATTGTTATCAGTCGTCGTTGGAGAGGCCCGATAGAATACTTCCGTTCATTCTGGAATACATGTTTATACTCTGATCACGCTCTAGTACGAGCACGCATTTTCTTGCGCCTCATTGGACGCAAAAAAGCCACACTAAGAAGACCCATTAAAATTGGAATGAGTAACGAGAAAGCCGAAAGTAGGTTCCAGGAACAACTAAGGTCACATTTAGGCAGCTCTGAAAACGAGGCTGACCCAGATGTTACTTGGAAAGATATATGAACAGCTATGTAGACAACAGCGACATCTATTGCACCGATAGACTCTCGTAAATCTATCCCATCAGGCTCCGAACACGGTGAAGAGCGTAAACAAATCAGGTCTAGGTTCGCCAAAAGTCTACGGAACGATTGTGAGCAGTGGTGTGCAACGAAAGCAAGTGATGGAAAAGGCAGCGATTAGGTTGACCAATATTTTAGCTGAAATCTGGAGACCGGATGTAATCCCGTCTAACTGATCTTCCCGGTGTATAAGAGGGTATCAAAATTATCCTGTGATAACTATAGAGGGATTAGTTTGACTAATATAACATCTAAAAAACAAGAATCGATAATTATCAGGTGCCTAGCAAAGACTCGTGAATAGCAAATAAGAGAAAACCGGGCTGGATTCAGGCCTAACCATAGCTGCATCGACAACATATTCATCATTCGTCAGATTTTAGAATACATGTATGCTTATCGAGAGTGACGGTTTTTCTTGGCTTAAAAGCAGAATTTGATTCTGTAGACCGAGGTTCTGTGGCAGTGTCAGTCATTGAAAGGTGTACCTTAGAAGTATTAGATGGTGGTTGGAGGTAGTCGACAGGAAACCCTGGACCCGGGTTTCGTGCTACTTGACACTCGTCAGCAAGGTGTACCTGTAATCTTGGGGGAACTGGTGCTTGCTGGCGGATCCGACCCCGTGTCACCCAGCTTCACAGTCAGAGACGTTACCACTGAGCTATCCGGGCCGCGATTACATCCAACCACCATCTAATCTTATAATAGTGCCCGCAGTGTCGAGTCACCTATACTGGTGGCCACATTGCAACATGGTCGATAGCATTCGATCTGCACTAATAAGGACTAGACACGCATGATATTGGTCACCACCCAGTAATCAATCAATTGTGACCTCAGAAGTATATAAACCTGGTGATGGCTTTTTACTCGAGTCGGAGCTTATAGCGAACTGTCATCTGATTTTGCGACCTCAAGTGTTGTCCGTCAAGGTTGTCTACTATTTCCATTTATGTTTAATTTCATCACAGACCTATTGCTGGAAATAACTCTCGTCGACTGAATTCTCGGGCATTGATCTCTTACCAGGAGACTAGATTTTATTCGACTAGAGTTGAACAGGAATGTTGTGAATGCCTAACATACGTAGTTTTACGTTAATGTCACACTGACAATTGTCTAACTTGGTGGTTAAGCTATTGTGCTTCATTGGTGTCCTCAAAGAACAAATAGAATCTTACCACATAATTTATTTTAAAACGAAGATAATAGAGAGGTAAAAAGTACAAGACTGACTAATAGTTGCTTGCACTAGTTTCATCGCATGTGTGGATTAATCCATTCAAGTTATGCTTGGCCTTGACAAATTGCGATCAGCAATTTAACTTTCAGTCTTCTATTGTATAGATAGGTCCAGGTCGACGGATGATTCAGCTAGGGCTCAGCGATATTTGACTGACCCCATATAACTATTGATTATTATAAATGAAAGATGTAAGAATTTGTGTGTATTCACATATAGTTTGATTTATTTTTGGTGTATGACAAACCCTCATCTATCATCTTTGCGTTGTTGCTTGTATCGAGCGACATCACTTTTTTGTCCAGTCATAACACACTACTATTATTTAATTCTTAAAATAGATTGATACAGCGATATTTTCTTTCAATCTTTTATTCAGAGCTGATGAAATGGAATTTTATGCCCTTCTAGTTGAAAATTTAATCAAAAATGCTCAATATCGTGTTATTTTATCAGCTATCACGTGGGATGGACTTTTAGACTTTATGTTAGTAAGTTATTGTTTAAAAGAAAATATGTGTGATGCTAATTTATGCTCTTAAATATCTTTAGAATATTGTAAATTGATTAATATTAGAATCATTATCTTAACGGTTACTTAATCACGCAAGATCTACGCTGATGCATTGAACTGAATGAGCAGCAATATGAAATTTGTTTAAAATTTTGTCTCCGAAAGTAGCCACCTGCCTATAGGAGGTTTTTATGTGAAGAACGATTTATTTGTACAGATATTACCATAATAATTAATGTAAATAAAATAAGTTTTCTTCAAAATTTATTTGATTTTACCTAAGCATACATGCTTCCCACAACTACCACCTTAAAAGTTTCAGGTTTGATCATATGTATAATGGTCATAAACGTTCATCAGCTCCTCTTCTTTCACTCTCTCTCATCCAAACTAATACGAAATAATTGCTTACTAATTATATTTTTTCTTAATTCTAAAATTTTCAACGTATACTGATTTGTGCACTTGTTAACATCGATTTTCATGTTTATTTCCAACATCGGAATTTATTGATTTTATGGTAAATTTGATATATTACAAAGAGAGAGGGAGATAGAGAAAAAAACTTCGTATAGATCATATATTAACAAAGCAGACTATTTTTTTATTTATACGTAACAAGAATCTATTCATTTGATTATGTATATTATCAAATAGTTGACTTGTATGCTGCCAAATCGTTTTAAATCTTTAAAATAACCCACTAGTCTTTAGCTGGTTCTTTTTAAAGATATAAAACAGTAACATTAACCACGAAACCAATCCGGTTATGTATGAAATTGTTGACAATGAATTGTCTATTCTTGAAAGTATTGAGATAATGTATGGAGAAATGATACACTTGAGTTATTTTATTCCTTTCTTTTTTATCGATTACTTGTTTCTAAATGGAGCTAGTTCAGAAAATATTTAAGGGTCTTAGTCGAAAAATTATATTTGTAGTGCATAAAGTGCATTAGTTGTCAATTGTTTTCTCTAAATATTCATTGATTTTCATCAAGTGAGTTAATAGAGCTTTAAGAAAAAGAAAATTATTCACATACCAATATATATATAAGCGTAAGTTAAAACCAGACACAAAACGTTCGTTGTTCATTGTACAATAACTTCCATCCGAAGATAAAATATAAGCGCAGACCGGACAGTCTGATGCAAGTGGATTTGAATAGCATATCCTATGAATTTCTTTAAAAGAAAAAGTGTTGACAGACTAGATTCCTAAGTATTGCATGCTTCCTTATCTTCCTACATCTCTTTGTTCGGGTTATCGGTATGTACCTTGTTCTCTCTCAATTATTGTTCTGATTTGGGAAAAGTCGAATGTATTATCGTGGTCAGGAAATACTAGAATTGTAGAATAACATAAAAACTATGAACCAATGAGTTGGTGGAGTACTTACGTCCATATTTCTCTCCTCAATCAGTTAGTTACTAACCGTCACGCACTATCATCGGTGCTAACTGTTTTATTATCGATATGTTTGAGCCACATCAGTTATGACTTACCATTTATTCAATTTCCTGTAATTCCTCATTTAAACTGTCCTCCTATCAAACTAATCTTCACAATATCTACTTAATTAAATCATTGGTTGTTATTCTTTCCTAGTGAAAGATATAATATGTCAAGAAATCTTACTGTTCATCATGTGATTTTTGAACTGGATCGTGTTAGTCGTAATAAAAGTGATTTGAACATTGGATAGTTGTAACCTAGATTAAATCTCTGTTCAAATTATAGATACAGATTTATTGGGTTTCAATTTAAAACGACCTGCGGCTATATATATATATATATATGATTTTAACCTGACAACATATATCATATTCATAAGATAGTTAAAATCCAATCCCTAAAATGAATTATATAACCCAAACTTTTCGGATTTCAATCAATTCATTGTGTACAAGTGAAACAGACATGTTCTGCCTGGTCACATGATTGTTGTATTTGTTAGGGTCATCGGGAGTATTGAAGTTAGGGAAAAAACTTCAAGGTTTTCATTATTAGTGTTATTTCTTTAAAAAAATCCACTTTTTTTTTGTTTCTGATAAAATTCTATAATTATTAGCTTTGGTTACCTGACCAAAAAATAAGATTATATACAACTGCTTTACAAGATTGTACTTCACCTACAATTGATGTAAATGAGAGTTCATTAGGAAAGGATGAACAAAACACTGTACATTCTGTGAAAATTGAACCGATCGCTTGTCGTCGTGTATTTTATCAACAACTTTTACCGAATAATAATTGTTCATTGTAAGTTGTCTTTTTTTTGAAATTTCTTTTACTATTATTTAAATTAAGTCGATGTTTTATGGTCTTTATATTACATTTCGGTAACATCCATTGCATTAATTGAAGTAAAAAAAAATAATGAGTGATATATATTTCAGTCAGTCAGCTACAACATAGGACCAGGGACATTTATGCATCGGTCCAAGTTGCTATATCACATTATCACAGCAAGATGGACACCGGATATGTATTTGGTAAATAAACACAAATTGTTCATTCCAAGAAAATAAACTTTCCACTTTATTCGACTATCTGTTCAATTATATTGAATAAGCAGTATAATGTTATGTGGTTGAAGGTATTCTCCAGAAAATTCTGGGCCTAGGTTTTGTCCTTGTTGTCATTCACCATTACGGCCAACGTGCGATATTCAGGGAAGCGGTGCTTCCGCATCACAGCCCCACAGTTTAAAATGTTACTACTGAGCTATTTGGATCGTGAATGACTTTCTGTAGGACTGAAATATTCACACTGATTGGTCACTGAGTGATGACCGATGTCATGTTTGTCTAGTCCTTAGCGTTAATCGAATTCTATTCGATCGAGTTGACACACAAACATACCTTACTCACAAGTATCAAATAGCATGGAATTTAGGTCCTAGGTTTCCTGTTGAATACTTCAAACCACATGACATCAAAAAATAGTGCAACTTGTTGATCGATAGAATTCAGTCAGCACCAAAAAGCTAGTCAAACGTAAGATTGGTCACTACTTAGTAATTGATCAATGAAATGTTGTTACACGAATGTTGGAATACTACTTTTTACTCGATAAATATAAAATATAGTAAACTAGTAGTAGTCTGTTATGGATTAAAATTAATGAGGAGAAAAGCTAGACAGACAGTGTATGACCAGAGAATGTTGAAGGGTTTTAAGGGATTAATAAACATAAAGGAGGCTTCCATCAACGCCTGATATCAACTTCGAAAAACCATTGGGAATTAAGTTAAGACCAATAATCACCACTCCAAGATCATTATTATATGTCAGACATCAACTTTTATGCATACACGACCAGATCACCCAGCAAACCAATTGAGCAAAAGTATTAACACTGAACAACATTAATGCCGGAAAAAACGAAGTACTGGTTACACAAATAATCGGTTCTAGTCTGAGAGGATAATGCTATAGCAACAATTTACCGTTCAAATAAAAAGTTTGGAACTAGTGTATTATTCAAATATTAAGGCCAAAATACCCAATAAACATGGAATTAATACATATAAATAAAAACTTAGAAAAATAGCTTCCAAGTTTTTTCACCTTATAGTTAAATTGTCTTTTACAACAGTTTGCATTTCATGACATTGAATAAATAGGTTGAGGATCATCGGAGCTGTAGTTGTTTTCAGTCACTAGATAGTATCTGAATTCTTGGTAGATAATAATCATTTATCGTCGTTGACAATGTGTTGGTACTACCCAATGAATTCATGAGTTCACAATATGGCTTCGTTTAAATGCCTTAAACATTTTATATTCATTTGTTGAATCAGGTCTTGTCAAAATCTTATCATCTGTTTACAAAGCTGTGACTTCAACTTAGAAAATGAATTTGGTTAGTGCATCAACTAAGAAATTGATCGGACTTAAGTTCTTAGACATGAGTATGAAGCGGTAGCGTGGTGATCAAAGTACTTAACCTTTACAACCACTGGGTTTAAAATCCGAACTGTGGTACACGTATTTCCGTTTGGGGTACTGAATAGTCTTTCAATGACCTGTCACACTATCTCGAGACGGAATACACAAACCACGCATTTGGCAAATTATTCACATATTTTGTGGACTTACACTATTTCGTCTAAAGTTTTACATAACTATTTTCTCTGAATTCATCTTTGTTTGGACATCAACCCTGGAATACAGGTACATTAAGTGGACGAGTCTCAAGTAGGACGAAACTCGCATCCTGGGTTCCGCTGTTAGTCACCATCCATTTCTGCTTATTTCTTATGAAGTTTTCACTAAGTAGATGTAGTGTTTCCTGATTGTAAAGTGATCTTTCACAATGAGACCGTAAATACTGATAAGTGAATTCCCATTTATTATTCTTATGTAGGACCTCCAATATCAGGTGGATTGTAAATCGCTATGAATCATATGATATTAACTGTCATAAATAGTGAGGATTCTTTGGCACGACGAATTTTCCCAGTTAGTTCGAAAGTATACAGGCACCGAATGATTGTCTCACCATTCGAGGAATTAGCTCATTAGGAACTTCTACTCCTTTTTATACAACTACAATTTTAGCAATTTCATTTACTTAGCCTACGGGTTTTCTTCAAACTATCAATTCAATTCACTTTTGTCATAAAGAATTTTTATTCTTCAATTACAGGAATACAGCACAGTTGGTTGATTCATGGAGGAAAGATTTCGGAGTCACATTAATTCATATTCCGTGGGAAACGTGCATTGGATTCTCAGCGTGCCTAAGTCAGTTTTCTTCAAGAATAGCACCACACACACGGAAATTAGATGGACCGATGACGGGATTCATTGTAAGTTTTCATATAAAGTGCGATCGGTCGCCTCATGGTTTATCGATTTGGGCGCTTGTTTAATGTGTAATGTAGTTTGAGATAAGTCGATGAAGTCAACCAACGGCTTCACGTTAATGTCTACATTCATTGAAATGTAATTAGAGGATATTAAGGAAGGTAAGTTGTCCCGTATCGAGTAAATCTCAATAGTGATCATGTATTTACGCTTTTGCTATGAGGAACATGTGTGAGACTTCTCAGTTTGTAATATATATATATATATATATATATGTAAACTTTAAGTCAGTTTTTCTTGAGACAACTACGAAGTGATGCACCCAACACAAAACGAACCAAGGGAACATTTTGTTTCTTTTAAATAAACTATCACTAAAGTTTGCACTATTTTTTCTAATTTTTAGTCAGGTGCCGTTCCACTGATTCACTTACCTGACGATTTGGCGTAATGTTACACTCGGAACATGATAATTCTATTTGAGTGATAAACCGTCAATGTGATTTTCTGCAGATGAGATATCAGGAAGAAAACTTACATGCTTCGTTATTTCTTGTGAGGGAGACAAACAGAATGTATTTTTTACGCTTTAGTTTCAAACGTATTGTCAATTACCCTTACATGTTTTTGTACTATACACTTTTTAAGAACAACAAAGTATGCACAACCAAGTTGATATGATTAGCTGAAAAAATAACTAATTTGTGAGCATATCCGTTTACTTGTTAATTAAGAGTAACAGGCACTTCATTTGAAGAGTTTGTCAAGTTTGGCTTGTCGAGCCATAAAAAAATTCTGTCCCATTTGGAAAATATAATAAAGTTTGCCAGGCACTCAAACTTTCTGTCCGACTAGACTAGAAACTGGTCAATTTTGTTCTTTAATATATTTCTTTAGTTTTTTGAAGTTTCACCTAAGGCAGGCCAAGATTCGGAATTGATATCGAAGCGTTTAGGATTTGTTGGGTTCGGAGGACTTCGCGAGAAATGAGCAACACGATCTGGACCGACAACATTGAGTGCACCAGAGCGAGAAACCTAAATACGTAAAGTATATTTTGTAGAAAGTAGAAATTTTAGTAGAAGAAATTCGCCAACCCAAAAACAGTTCACTTAAACGATAATAAGGCCTAGTTGATAGTCAGTCAGTAACAACGTGGAACTTCGTACGTACATCAGTTCGAGTTGCCATACCACATTAGCACAGAGATTCAGTTATCGATTCAAATTCCATAGTGGTAGAGGTACTGAAAGTATAAGTAGTGATAGAGAATAATAGGGTTTGATGATGTTATTTAAGGAGTATAATCCAGTGGAATAGATTTGGAAAGCAAATAAAGGACATGAAGAATTCGGAAGATTAGAGTTTGAGAGAACACAGAGAGTGGATGCACCTGCGCCATTGCAAACGATTTTGAGCCATGTCATTCAACATCTCTAACCATCGGTTGCTATCATCTCGCGGTCCCCAACCAAGTAGTCTACACCTACCAACATGGCTCATTCCACTTGTCAGTGACTTCATGGATTTGTTCCATGATTTGGACTGGCCGCCCATAGCTTTCTTCCAACCTACTCCTACACCAGAAAACATAGCACGTCGGGGCAGTCGGGCATGCGCAACACATGTCCCAGCCATCTCAACTGATTGAGTTTCACTACTTCATCAATTGATTTGCCATCCTTACCTAGTACCCGTTTCCTAACAACTGCATTACTTACTCGGTGGTCCCAGGATATACGAGCAATGTTTCGAAGACACCTATGATCAAATACTAGTAACCTACAAATATCCTCTACTCTTACTGGTCATATATCACTGCCATAAAGTAGGACGGAACGAACTGCTGCGCAGTAAACTCGTCCTTTAGTTGACAGACGGATATCTCGCCTACGCCACAAATGACGCAAGTTGGCAAAAGCTAGTCGAGCCTTCTGTATCCGTTCTGAGATTTCGTCACACACCAGACCACAAGGGCTGATGAGACTCCCGAGATAAGTGAAGCGGTTGACACGCTCAACTACTTCACTCCCTATCACTAGTTCGGGTGGCGGTGCAACCCAAACCTGAAGCAGCATCTTGCATTTCGATGGAGAAAATCGCATGCCGAACATGCCTGCATTGTTGCTTAGAGTGGTCAGCAGACTCTGCATTTTGTCAGCGTCTTCACCAAATAGAACTATGTCATCGGCATACTCTAAGTCAACAAGTGAATCTCCCGGTAGAAGTTCAACCCCTGGAAAGTCAGATGTAGAAAGTGTTAGTTCTAAAAGCACGTCAACGACAAAGTTAAACAAGAATGGAGAGAGTGGACAGCCCTGAAGAACACCACTTGAGGTAATCAGTTCTGATAACAGTTCGCCATAAGCTCTCACTCGACCAGTTGTGTTCGAGTAGAGAGCCTTTATAAGGTTAATGTACTTCTTTGGTACTCCTTTCAGTGACAAACACTGCCATAGAACCTCACGATCAACAGAGTCAAATGCCGCCTTAAGGTCAAGAAATACTATCATTGTGGGGCGCCTGGATGTGTGTATGTTCTAGGACCTGACGTAGTGTGAATATCTGATCTATACAACCACGTCCAGGTCGAAAACCAGCCTGGTTTTCTCTAGTCTGCTCTTCACAAGCTTTGGTTAGACGTCGAAGTATTATTGAAGCTAATATTTTAGACACTATATTAGTCAAACTAATTCCTTTGTGATTGTCACAAGAGGACTTTTGTCCTTTCTTATAGACTGGCACAATCAGTGATTGAGACCAGTCAGATGGGATTACGTCCAGTTCCCAGATTCTACCTAAGACCTCAGTCAATCTTGCTGCTAATACTTGACCGCCATCCTTAAAAATCTCAGGAGTGAACCTGTCAGGGCCTGCTGCTCTCCCACGCTTCAGATTTCTTATAGCTTTTTCAACTTCGTAAAGAGTCAGAGGACTTACATCAACTTGCCATTCAGGTAGATTGGAGATCGTGGGAAACCGAAGTGTGGCTGAAGGCCAGTTGAACTGATCCCTAAAGTGTTCTGTCCATCGATCCAATCTCCTGGGTTGAGAATGAATAATATGTCCATCTTTCTCTGAGATTGTTTCGCTAACAGTTGGGTTCCTAATGCCGGTTTCCTTAACAAGTCTGAACAGTTGTCTGCTGTTACCTATTGCCGCTGCCATTTCCATCTCTCTTGCTTTCGCTACCCACCACTGCTCACGATCATTGCGTAGGCTTCTAGTCAGCTTACGCTTAAGCTGACTTCGCTCTTCGTTATATTCAGAGCCAGATGGAATGAGTTTTCGAGCATCAATCAGTGCGGTAGATGCTGCTGAGATCCAGTGCTTTTCCCTAACCTTATGGTTTGCCGTACTTGCAGACATCACTGCTGTTTCTACAGCTTTTCGGATGTCATTCCACGCTGCCTCGGGGTGGGCATCACTTACATGGCTGCCAAACTGTTTTTATAGATGTTACTGAAATATACTCTTAGCTTGACTATCATTAAGTAGGACCCTAAGGGGTTTCCTTGTACCATCTTTCCTACGTCCAGTAAGACCCAGACAAATACGCGCTCGCACCAGAGCCTGATCTGAGTCTAGGCATGTGCTCCAGAATGAGTGACAGTTTTCTATCGAGCCCCTCCATCGGTGGCTGATAGCGATGTGATCTATATGGGTACAGCGTTGGGACGAATTAGGGGGTCGCCATGTTAAAAGATGTTTTTCCTTATGCTTAAAGTTAGTGTTTGCAAGAAACAGTCGGTTATCTGAGCATAGCTGCAACAGACGGTCGCCGTTATCTGTTCTTTGAGCCGCAACACCATAAGATCCACCTAGGTGTCTTTTCCTTTCGCTTAGTTTATCTACTTGAGCATTAAAGTCACCAGCCACTATTACTACATCTGAACGCCTAGCTTTTCGGAGAAGGTCGGAAAGCTTTCTGTAAAACTCATCTTTTACAGTATCTGAGCTGCAGTCATTGGGAGAGTAGGCAGAGACGACGAAGAGGCAACGACGAGTGTTCCTATCTTTCCGAGTCCTTACTGTTCCATTTAGTCGGACAGCGCACAAACGACTGTCTACTGGGATCCAGTCTAAGAGAGCTAGTTCTACCCTAGGACTCAATGCTATACCTACGCCAGCAAGGCCACGGGAAGCAGCATTAAGGCTTCCAGATACACGAAGCGTAAATCGGGTTGGTTCGTTACTTTGACATGGTGCGGTCAAATGAATGACACTCCTAGGATCCTGTGTGCGCGTTTCGGAGACGCAGCACACATCGATGGAGCGAGATTCTAAAGTCTTAGCTAAGAAAGCCTGTTGTCCTACTTGGCACAGTTTTCGGACGTTGAAAGCTCCTACGTGTAGTTTGAAGCGTGGTTTCAGGAGACCAGGAATAACATTCCGCGTAGGCGAACTGTTTGCACTAGCGGGGTGAGGTGATAAAGGGACGTAAGAAGGGTTAGTCATGGAAATAAGAGTTAATAGGAGGTGTAGGAAGGATTTGAATGTGACCAACTTGGTCTCGTGTGCTGTTACGGGTATGAGGGCTGATGTCACTTCCCGGTTGCCCACATCGTGAAAGGGTATTTCTTGAGGAACCTGAAAAGGAAATCGGATTAGTGTTGGTCTTAGCGACCTGGATGCGTGACCGCAGAGTCCAAGGGACAACTGCTTGAGGCCGGTCGCGCACGGCCTTTTTGTGGGAGGTTTTTAATGTGTTAGCTCCGTTCTTCAAAGGGCCTTACCGCCGGAGACGGAAATCCGTGGGGTAAGGTGAGGTGTGACATTTTTAGGGTCAACCTTTTCTAACCCCTTCCTTCCTTGTGAGAAGGCAGCATCGCTGCAGATGCTGGTTGTCTGAGGGAAACACCTTACTGCTGTCACACCTCTGTACAGTCAGTAGTACGACTTCGCCTTCAGACTTTGAGTTGCTGCTTTTAGTCTTACCGTTCTCCAATCGACCTGCCTGGTATGGTAGAACCTGCAGGAACATGTGTTCCGGCCAATATAGCTCGGTTGGGTCATCATGATAGGCTGCCACCAAATGCCCTGGTATGGCCGTGAGCGGGGAGGGTTCGCCCTCCCTCTCGAAATACTCTCACACGGCCACGCGTATACAGCCTCTGCCAGGGAAGTCCTACTCACTGCCTTCTCGTGGCGGGGATGTTGTTTACGAAAATGAGAGGACGAAAAGCGAACGTCCGGCGCTATAACCGGATCCCAATTCTATGGTGCACATGGGCTCCAGTATCCTGCGGGAACAAATGGCGTATGAACCAACTTTTGGTCACCGGCTTCCATGGGACTGCATCTCCTCACGATGCTCCACTGCCTTGTGGATTAGACCTTTAGGTCAAAGGCTCGGGGTGTGGCCCCCTAAGAAAACCACCTGCTTTGGTCTGGGCACCCGGGCAGTATCTCAGCCCACACACTAAAACTATGATGAACTATCTGCTTATAGAAAATATTCATTTCTCTCCGACTAACATTGAAATGACTGGTATTATTATTATTATTATCATTATTATTTACTACGTCGTTTATTCACTATCTCCTATTTCTACTTTTTGTATCCGTTTCGACTCAGACAGCAGCTCGCCTATGGTGAAAATTCAGCTTTATCTAAACGTTCTCGAGTCACTGCCTGGTTGAAAATTGTATGTTACCACCAAATATGAGTACTGAAGCAGTTTTTCTGAAACCACGTGCACCATTCAAACTGGCTGCCTTCAACGTTCGCACACTTATGCAGGTCGGACAACAGATAGGGCTGGCTATGTCTTTGGAAAGTCTTAATATTGATGTGTGTTGTCTATCCGAGACCCGTATTCAAGACTCTGGTGAAGTACTACAAGTTCGCTCTCCATCTGTCACTTCAAAAAGCTTGTTTTATGTGCGTTTATCCGGGGACCTTGTGGCATTTTCGTCTGGTCTTGCTGGCGTTGGTGTCGCACTAAGCGCAAGAGCTGAGGCAGCACTAGTCGACTGGATCCCCATTAACAGTCGGTTATGTGCTGTTAGATTAGAAAGTTCCATCAAAGTGAGAAGAAATCGGCGTGAGAAACGATGTCTTTTCGTCATCTCCGCCTGTGCCCCGACAGATTGCAGCCCGGATGCAATCAAGGACGAGTTCTACCATCAGCTAACTGTTCTTCTCCAGAAAGTGCGTTCGACAGATATTGTAGTACTAGCCGGAGACTTGAATGCTCAGGTCGGGCGTCTAGGCACAGAAGAGAGTCGTTTAGGTGGCCGATGGGGACTCGTTGGTCGCAGGACAAATAACGGGGAACGTCTACTGCAACTATGCACAGACCACAACCTGTTTCTGGCTAGCACTAACTTTCGGCACAGTCATCGCCGATGTGCCACCTGGCGTCCCCCTTCTGCATCTCAAGCCTGGACTCAGATTGATCACATCGCGATCAGCTACCGCTGGCGTGGTTGTGTACAAGACTGCCGCTCCTTTTGGAGTACCTATCTGGAATCTGATCATGCTCTGGTCTGCGCCAATCTTACCTTACTTTTCAGTGGACAACGAAGTGACCGCCACCAAAGGATTGATGTTAGCAAGCTGGCTGCAACTTCTGTTGCTAGTAAGTATCGAACCGAGCTAGCTTCTAGGCTAGCTACCATTCCACCGAAAAGTATAGATGAGCATTGGTTGCAATTGCATGACGCCATGAAAATGGCGGGTACAGTCTGTTGTGGGTTCGCGAAACGTCCCGCTTACAAGCGCTGGGTTTCTTCTGGTTCCTTACAACTGATTGAAGCCCGTCGGTCTACTCCGGGTGACCGTGAGTTTGACCACAGACGAAGGATGTTACGTAATGAAATCGGGCAAAGCTTGCGTAAGGACCGAGAAGCCTGGTGGTCGGAGCGTGCCAGTGAGTTGGAAGCAGCAGCTGCATCTGGTAATTACCTGAAGCTCTTCCAACTCATCCGAGCCACTGGCAGCAAGAAGTTTGGTGTGAGCGAAACAATCTGCGAGGGTGACGGAACGCCAGTCACTAACATCCATCGACGTCTTGGACGATGGGCAGAATTCTTTGAAGGGCAGTTCAACTGGCCTGCTGCTCCGGCAACATCGGTCAGACTGTCCTGCCCTTCATGGCCGGTGACGACTGATCCACCAAATGAGGCGGAAGTCCGCAAGGAACTCCAACTCTTGAAACGTTACAAATCACCGGGCCCAGACGACTTACCTCCGGCTCTTTTTAAAGATGGTGGTGACTTTTTGACTAAGGGACTGACGACGTTGTTTACAAAGATCTGGAAACTAGAGAGTGTACCAACGTCATGGAATGAGTCGATAGTTGTCCCTATCTTTAAAAAGGGTTCACGTTGTTCCTGTAACAACTATCGGGGGATAAGTCTACTTCCGATTGCGTCCAAGCTATTGGCTTCCGTCATACTTCGTAGGTTGTTCAGAACCCGAGAAAGATTGACTCGCGAGGAGCAGGCTGGGTTTCGTTCTGGTCGGGGATGTATTGATCATATCTTCACCCTCCGCCAAGTGTTAGAACACCGCCATACTTATCAAAGGCCAACAATCGTAGTGTTTCTTGATATCAGGGCTGCCTTCGATTCGTTGGACAGAACTGTTCTCTGGGATTGTCTATTGAAGAAGGGTGTGCCTGAGAAGTTTATTAACATCCTAAAAGCCCTATACACAAACACCTCAGGCAGAGTGAGGGCATACAATAACCATTCTCCACTATTCCATTCGAGCAGTGGGGTTAGGCAGGGTTGCCCAATCTCACCATTCCTCTTCAACTTTGCCATCGATGACATTCTGGAAACAGCTCTGACGGATGTAAGTAATGGTGGTGTGGATCTGTTGCCTGGAGAAATACTTCTCGACCTTGAGTATGCGGATGATATTGTCTTACTGTGCGAGAATGCCCAAGTCATGCAATCCGCACTTAATCAGTTGGCAATCAGTGTCCGTAGGTATGGTATGTGCTTTGCACCCTCGAAGTGCAAAGTACTTCTACAAGACTGGCAGGATTCTAATCCTGTACTCACTCTGGATGGTGAGCAGATTGAAGTAGTCGAGAAGTTCGTGTATCTAGGTAGCTGCATAAGTGCTGGTGGTGGTGTGAGTGATGACATCAATGCACGTATAGTGAAAGCCAGAGCGGCTTATGCCAATCTGGGCCATCTTTGGCGCCTTCGTGATGTTAGTCTGGCTGTAAAAGGTCGGATCTACAACGCGACGGTGAGAGCAGTTTTGCTCTATGCTTGTGAAACCTGGCCTCTCCGAGTTGAGGATGTTAGACGACTCTCTGTGTTCGATCATCGTTGTCTCCGAAGGATTGCTGGCATCCAGTGGCAACACCATGTCAGTAATGCAGAGGTTCGACATCGAGTGTTCGGTCACAGAGACGATCATGAAATTGGTGTCACCATCTTGAAACACCGACTTCGGTGGCTTGGACATGTTCTACGAATGTCGTCCCAGAGAATTCCTCGTCGTGCATTATTTGCCGACTCTGGGACTGGTTGGAAAAAGCGGAGAGGTGGTCAGTATATGACATGGTGTCGTGGTATGAAAGAAAGCTGCAAAGGGCTAGCTTCTGTTGGTCCTTCACGACTCCCTGGTTGGGGTCCGAGAGACGGTGTAACGCAGTGGCTAGAGACGTTATCAGATATGGCTCAGAATAGAAGCCAGTGGCGATCGTGCTGTAACCTTCTTTTACTTTCTTCATAAAAAGTGTTTGTATCTTCCTTAACTGAAAGATCTCTTCTGATTGTACCTTTCCGTTTCCCCCACCATTGTTCTCTCTCTCTCCCTTTTTTTTTATAATTCCCCACGTTCATTACTTTTTTTTCTCTTTTCTCCTTCTCTTCAAATTATCATTGTTTTGTGTGGCGCATATATATTTGGTGCCCCCCTGTACCAATATTTATGTGTTTAAATAAATAAAATAAATAATCATGATAGGCTAGCCCGACCACCACGTCAAGATAGCAGCTACGGTCGGGGCCTAGTTGATAAATTTTTCTGAAATTCGGTTTTCGCTCTACCTTTTACGGTTTGAGCAGCTGAGTACTGCCACTAGCACTCACAAGTACAGTGATTAAAATGTGACCATACATAGCTATATCCAGTAAATAAGTTCCATTGTGACTAACCTTAACTCTAACTCTATCACACACAAGAAATACATTAAAGTCATACATGATTGGGATGCTAATTGTTATAAAAATCCTCTATTATTTGGAGCTGCAATAAATCAGTGTTGTAGCATGAGGCAGAATGGTGTGTTGTATACCCGCTTATGACTAATAGCTAAATATATTCATGAAGCAGATTTTAAGTGCGAAACGTGATTCAACCTAGAAGCGATTGCTTCTATACACTGAAAATTAATCCATTAGAAACTGGCCGGCAATAAAATGTCACTTCCTCTTAATACTGCTTTAGAACCCACCAACCTTTGTATTACGTCGTTCTTGTCTACTACATTTTTTACATACACGGAAATGGATGGGAAACAGTACTTACTTCAGCAAAACTGATTGGTAAAGTTTTTTTCCATTTTCCATTTTGCGTCATGGTTGAGAGTGGGACAAAATTTGAAGGGTCAAGTTGTACTTCTATGAAACATAAACTTTAGAACAATAGATAACGTACCTTGCTTATCTGATAAAGCTGCATGACCGCTGAGAACAAAACCTGGAGCTGAAAGTTACATAGAAAGTACGTTAGTACAATACACTAAGACAATGCAGTTGTGGTACAAAATATGATTATGGAATATCATTTTTCCATGCATGTATTCAAAAGGCTGTTATTCCGTGGGACTTAATACAACATTGGACAGATAAGTGCATCAATCTACACTAACATTCCCTACATCCTAATAATGTAAAATTGAGATGGAAAGGAGCCAAAATACAAGGGGTGACAAACTAAACGGTAAGAAAGTAAAAACACGATTAAATAACCAGGCACGTTGATCGACTACTGTAATCATAGGAAACGACTAGCTTTCAGACACCAATCAATAGGCCTGTACCGTCTAGCACTGCTTTTACCAACGGCCAGGGTTTTCATGGATTGATATACATGGGTTTATGTACCTTTCACATGTGTTACCCTGCATAGTACTTCGTATCATACGATATCTGTACACGCGTATCATATGCTCCAAGTACCCACATCGACAGCAGTTCGCTGCTCACTTGTGTTTACGATACGCGAAGAGGACCACCGAATACTTGGGTTTTGCACATTCTCTGTATTTAAAGAATACACCTCATCAACCCAAAGGCAATCAACAATCCACAAGTGTTGCCAACTATGATCATAAGAACGATAGACTGTATAATTATTTTATGGTCGTCACATTTCGTTACATAATACCCGGATGACTGATGGAACATCAGTCAAATTGAATAGAGAAATCCCTGGTATGACTATTTATAACCGAAAATAATAGGTTAACCAAAGTTAAAACGAACCTGAGCACGTCTTTTTTTTCCAGACAACTTGATATTATTAGTTACTCATAAACTGAGTTTTTCAAAGCTCAGTAGATAGAAATATTCTCGATAAATGAGTCACAATGATCGTTCATCTTAATGAACCAAATAAGCATGTTACAGATATTTGTTGTCCATAAGTTCTCTTAAGATTTTTTTATCATCGAAATTGATAACTTTGTCTCACTTGCTAATTTGGAAAGTGTTATACTGAAGTATGGTCCATCTTCGTCAAAGTCAGTCGTGATTTAATTTGGGAAACAAAGGGCTTATTCACCTCAGGAGAGGCTATTGGTCTTATGAATGATTCGCTTTTTTGTCCAAATCTGTAGATCCAGATTTTTTAATCTTACAGCACGTTAGTAGTTTGAAGACTAATAACAGAGTGCTTATACTATTTATGTCTAGGGCACTTGTATGAATCACATGTCGCAATCGGATGGCAAGATAAAAAAACTCACCGGAAATTCATTTAGGGAAAAACTAAGGGATATTACGCCTAAGATGAAAATCCTTATAATAACCACTATTGATTTTACCTAAAATTCCTACAAACCATAATTCCTAACGTTTCATGGGTCAGGTCAGGGGGCAATGTTGAAGCTAGACATAGGGTCTTAGTCAGAGTAGGGAGTGGGTTGATGAAGTTATAAATCTTTATTGACTGAAGCGGTCAGGACATTTACTGGGTATACCTAAATTAAGGAAAGGAATACGGTGATAATGTTCAACAAAGTATCATTCATAATAAGTGTCGTAAAATTTTTAATGTGCAGAACTTAACTAGACCTACTTAATAACAAGTCGTCTTGTAGTCTCGTTTAGGCGCATTTATTTGATGTTCTACACACCACAAACAATGAGTAATCAAGTAGCTTTTGACATCAACTAGAACTCAATCTTATACACAGCTAACATAATATTTAGTCTTTTTTTCAAGTAGTGGCCAACACCAACTCAGTCTCAAAATCATTCACCTGAGCTGCGCGTCTCCATTTTATTTTGGTGAAATGGTGTTATCAGGATACACATGGGAAAATGGGTTTATTCAGTTATATTTCATTAAAGCCAACCATAGAAAAGTTATTATAATATGAGCAAATTTGTTAAATATCGTAATGAGTAAGTCATGAAAAATGATTGATCACGAGCTGAACTAACGATTATATATTAAGAGCAAAAGCTTGGATACGAACGTATACCTGCATTACCACTTCCCTTAAATATATAAATAGCATGCACCTATTTATAAAAGAAAAACCAATCCATTAACCGTTATCTTACGCAGTGACGTAAATTGGTTTTCAGCTGCCTCTTTTAACTCAGTAAGTTTCAGATCCTCAAGACGACTTCGATCTCGCTCCAATGCGCGGTTATTCAACGATGTGGCAAAGTGAGATAGTGTCAATTCAGATACCAACGGTGGTTCTAGCTTGATTTCCACTAAACTGAAGGCGTATCCATCAGGTAAATGGCTCAGGTACCTCAGAGGTTTTCGTAAGGACTTGAAAGAAAAAATATATCGGTAGGAAAACGTCCTTAATAATAATTATTATTGAAACGACAAAAACAGGTCCGTGATTATCAAACCTTATTTAAGTATAGATGCTCCAAAATAACCACGAATATACAGTCCCCAGCTTCTAGTAGTGAGGGTGTTGTGAACGAAATTGAGAGGACCAAAAGAGAATACCCGGTTATTTAACCGGGTTGGTGGATACGCAGGACTTGCCTAGTAGTAGAGTTGAAAAACTGACTCCAAATTAATGTTGTATAAACTTATTTTTGGTCACCGGTTAACATAGGACCGCATCTCCTGACATCGCCTAGCTGCCTTGTAGATTGGATTATTATTGTCACTTAGGTACAAATATTGGTAGTCCATATAAATGAGGGTAACTCAGAACCCATAGTTTTTAGAAAATGAACGTCCTGTCTGTCGACAGTATTCATGTGTAGCGATTTTTCTAGGTTTGAATTTACTCTTTCCTCTAGTTTACTAATACTTCCAAATTCAACATTGACTACCTAGAATTCACAAATCAAGCATTCCTTTACGCCCAATTTTATCGATGCGCCGATCACCTACACATAACCTACCTAAATAGCTAACATAATTGCTGGATCCTATCCGAAGATGTTTATGTGAGTATTCTCTGAAGGATTATTTTGAATTGGTTGATCATTTAAGTGATATCAATATCAAGGAAAAGATAATTTCATTTGACGTGAATTCCTTGTTCACAAATGTACCTTTAAAAAAACTATCGATATATCATGTGACTACATATCTTTAAACAACCTTGAATTACCTGTTCCTTTAAAGACTCTTAAAGATTTACTACTATTATGTACTGGCAAAGTTTAGCTCACTTTTGAATGTGAATACTTTAGCCAGATTGATGAGGTTGCTATGAGCAGTCCTTTAGGACCTTTATTTGCAGATTTGTTCATGGCACATGTTGAAACTCTAGCTGAATACCTAATCGAAAACATTTTACTTTATAGATGTTTGAACGATATTTTAGTTGTCTGTGAAAGGAAGGAGAATATGAACTGTTTATTGAATAAACTTCACGCTCTCCAAAACTAAATTTCTCTCTCATGCGAAAAAGAGAACAACCAGCTTCCCTTCCTAGATATACTTGTAAGTAGACGAGAAGATGGCTCAATCAAACGATCCATTTTTAGAAAACCAACGTGGACAAATCAATACCTTAGTTATGATAGTTATTGCCCCGTGCAATACAAACGGGGTTTGATAAAGTGTCTATTTAACATGCTTGATCGTATTCGCACAAATGATAATGTTAGGTTGCTAAATAAAATATTAGTGGGAAACGGTTATCCCCTTAAATTCATAAATGTGGAAAGATCATGGTACAGTGAGACCTACTATAGCCTCGGCGGAAAAATGCCTGTCTACGTTACCTCACCATTTGGAGGTGATTCAAATAGCCTTGTATTGAAATAATGGCTTAAATCAGTCATTAACAAGACATACTGTGCAGCAAATGTTATTATCAAGCAAACAACAAGGTTTATGCTCTATCGAAAACCTAAAGGACAAGGAAACGATTATGTCACATTCAACTATGTTTACCAATCTAAATGTGTGTGGTCACACACAGGGAGGAGTAAACGTGATCTCAAAATTAGGGTGTGTGAACATGGGCCTAAATGGTTGCAGAAACAAATAGAATCGAATGACCCAATAAGACTAGAGGGTAAACATCCATCGTCCTCTATTGCCAAACACATAATTGGAACAGGTTATAAGATTGATCTTAACTCAGCTTTTGTGGTGTTGTACCAAAATGTGAAAGGGCGTATACTAAGGTTTATTGAAGCCTTAGTCATACGAAAATTCAAACCTCCTTTGTGCATTCAGAAAGTTTGTTATCACCTTAAACCTACCCTGGTAGTACTAGCTTATTATCCAGTGATGAGATTTCAAATTGTTTTTACATTATTTCTTTATTATCTTTGTCTCCTCTTACCCCCTATTTCTAGTCTAGTTGACCTTACATTTTTTATATAAAACGTTCTTAACCAGTATATGTGTGATCAGATTGTTCAAAATGTATTGCGCTAATATATCACACAGTTCTTATAATTTTCTTATTACACTAAAGAAATTTATCAGAGACTAATTGCTTTAAATAGAAATTACGTATAAATATTCACTTAGGAATCGATATCACTGTTAGAGCGTAAATGGACTATATTTGTCCACATAATCGTCTACTGTTTCTGGAGCAGTGTAGTGAGATAAGTACGCTAACGTAACAATACTTGTGAAATTTGAAATTGGGGACTTATCCAGAAACTAGTTTTACTGAGCGTTTCGAATAGCCAAAAAATGGAGTTTAATTTCTGTCCTATTGCTTAAAAGAAACTAATATGTTTAAATGAATCATTAACACATCTCTTTTCAAGATCAGTGTTATATTTTATATCAATTAGGCGCCATAATTTAACTAAGAAATACTCGTGACTTACTGAGTTCATCCGATAATTCTTAGTTGATACAACGGTGGCGACAATCTCCTTCGGAAGATTTCGTGTTTCTTTGTACTCCGTTAGTAGACATCGCCAACCTAGACTATCTAAGAAAATGGGTTGACTATCCACAGCTAAACAGAATTTTAGCAAAGATTGCAATTACCTTGGTAAAAATATGTTTCATTTGTAGAAACATCATTAATATCTTGATTGCAAGATTTGCAAGGCTTAGCTAAACTGGTACCGCAAGATTTTAGAAGCATTTCTTCGCGATTCAGCTCTTCGAAGGCAAATTCAATGAATGGAATCAGCTCTGTGTTGTTTCCATCTACTTCACAAATAGCTCTATATGTACGAAGCTGATCGATCTCCGACTCGTGAATGTTTTTCAATGTTATTTGATCGGTTACGCAAACACATCCGAAAAGTGATCCAATGGTAGCTTCACATGTTTCAAGAGATAAAAGAGGAGTTACACAAAGTCCTGAACGCTTAACTAGCGTCAAGCATATGCTATCGCCAACCTTCGTTGGAGTAATATGGGTTAGGGATACCCTATATTATTCGTAAAACAAAACAAAGTATTACCTCTTGAGATCATCGAATGATAACAAGGAGGGACAGACAGAGCACTTTTTGCTATCCGACTCATTTTCGTATTTTAAATATTGTAATGCACATGGCCAACAGTAAACGTGTCCACATCTACCCATTCGTGGCGTGATGGGTGAATAGAGACATATGGGACACACTAGATCACCTTTGTTCAGGACTTTTATGAACGAGACTTGGTCCCATTGTGGAGGGGTCCCGTCATAGTTGGTTTTTAAGTATGCAGAATCAGGAATTAGGACAAATTGGCTCCTAATAATACAATCAGTTTTATATAGGCAACTCACGAGACTTGCACATAGCCATCTAAATGGGCTTCAAGTGATTTTTCACCTTTTGGACATCTAATGTGCGCAAAATTGGGCTTTGTCTTGTAGCTAGTCACTAAATCGACATGCCGTTTGGAACTTTGTTTTGAATGTCGGTTTCTTGCCTGGGAGTTGTTTGTGCAGGACTTCCGGCTCGATAAAGATACCGGCAGGTTGGTGTACATTCTGCCATCTGCAAAATTATTATCGTTTATATGGTAGCTAACCTCTTCTTTCGGAGTTGCTGGGGCGCTGAGCGTTCATAGGAAAGCGCACTAGTGACTTTTCCATCGGTGGAAAGGGTTTTTCTCTTGAAGATTATTGCAGATTGGTTTGAGTACATAGGACACATATTTAGAACTCCATTATATCAAAATATACAAAAATGAAAACAGTTTGAAGTGTGCCACTACAAGTTCCAATAGGTAAGATGAAAAAAAACCGGGAAAGCTTCCGCGAGATACAACGACAGCGCCTAGGCAGCACGATCGATTAAAACACCTGACACTTTAGCTCATCTACTATTTTTGTGATGATGAAGTAAGAATTTTTATCGCTTTTTTCATGCAGTCAAGGATAATTTCTGGTCCTCGAAAACATTTAATAGAGTTATTCTTTCCATTTACATGAAGTAGTTTCAGTAGTCGGTAATTTTGTGTTTCTTTTTCATTTTTAGATTTTTTTAATGATTGTTTCGCATGTCAATGAAATTTAAGTTTCGTTTGTCGAGAAAGAATGACATGATTCGAAGAGTAAAGCAGAGAGACTAAAGAGTGATTAAATTCTTTAGCTATTTAAACTATGGACTAATTAAATAGCAATGAAGACATATACGAAAGTCAGGATAAGTAAAATAAATTATAATCCGCGATTTATTCAGAATAAATGCACCTCTTCTTATTCAGTAAACTTTGGTTATAAAAGAGAAGTTTTCGGATTTTTAGGTTGTCATATAAAGTTAACCACACACACTCTATGGACGAGACTGGATATGAACTCGTTTTATGTAGAACCAGTCCGTGGTACTAGGGAGTAGCATCTTAAAACAGCCATAAATAAGGCACTTACAGGTACGATTCACTTATATGATTTTCGAACCCCATTATGACTCACTGGGAGTATGATGCTATGAGACTGTGAATTACCCGAAAGAAAATCAAGGGACCATATATACAACTCTCACTTGTTCCGGTACAATAATGGTTTATGGGTCAGATCCATTTCTGGTGAAAGTAAAGAGTAACTGGCCACTGATCGTACATACACAAGCTGCTAGAGACTTGAGGTTGCTGGGCTGTCCCAGATCAACTTATTATCGAAGGTTGCGCAAGTTGAGAGATGAATTCGTACGAAATTATCAGTTAAGCAGCAGTGACGAAGATGATAAGAATTCTGTTGCCATCACCGGAGTAGATAGAGCGGTAGCTACAGAGAAGTGTAACAGTATCGTCTCAGGAACAGACACTGCTTCATGTAGCTATGTCCAGTGTGCTGGCACTGCAGTCTATGGTAGTGTATCTTCCTTAATTATGTATAGGTGGTGTGATTTCAGAAATGTCTCCACCCAGTCATGTTTCAATGAAAGGAGAGGTCGACAGAATTGTCATAGACATGATGACAGGTGGTGATATAACGGTTAAGAAAGCTGATGAAATTCTGGACGTCTTTCGAGTGCGCATACCTGAACTACCGACATCTGTTCGAAGTGTTCTACGTAGATGCAACGACGTGGAGCCTAAAATTCTCGGAACGGGGACTTATTACGATTTGGGGTTGAAATCAAGTCTGCTGAGGATTTCGGAAACTTGGCTACGTAAATTCCGTTTTACAGAACTGAAGCTGCAGTTGAACTACGACGGTCTAAGCTTGTTTAAAAGCTCTAACCAACAACTGTGGCCTATACTAGGTCGCATAGTGGGTCCAATAGTTAGTAATGTATTTATAGTTGGGATATATGGGGGTGAAGTGAAGCCATGTGATTTCAACGACATGTCAGCAGCACTTATCACTGAGTTGCAAGAGTTGCTGACAGTAGGTATAAGTGTAGATAAGTATCAGGTACATTTAACAGTAAAACTGGTTGCTGTTATTTGTGACGCTCCGGCTCGCAGTAACGTACGGTATGTCGTAGGACACAACGGTACTGCTGGCTGTGACAAATGTCATGTTTCAGGGATACGAATGGGTGGTCGAATGACTTTCCCCAATGGTGAACACGAATTGAGAAATGATGCCACTTTTCGTAGTAGGTCGCAATTTAGCCTTCATCGTGGTGGAAGTTCATATGAAACTCTGCCATTGGATATGATTAAATGTTTTCCCAGTGAACCCATGCATATGATTTATTTAGGTATCACTAAAAAATTAATTTCGTTATGGAAGGATCTAGCAATTAAGCGACTTAATAGGATGGATCAATCGATTATAGTTTCCATAAATGAAGCACTCAACTTATGTAGAGAGCACACTACATGCGACTTTCAACGTAAATGTCGTTCGATACACGAAGTTTCTGTATGGAAAGCAACTGAATGTCGGTTGTTCTTACTATACTTAGGGCCTGTAGTTCTTCATAATAGGCTACCACTGTCGATGTATAGAAACTTCCAGTCGCTCTCTTTGTCAATATATTTATTATCACACCCTAAGTTACGCACTACTTTTGCAGACAGTGTTCGCGTTCACATAAACAACTTCTTATTAGGTTACGAAAAGTGTTACGGCAGCGACCACTTAGTATACAATGTGCATAGTTTAAAGCACATTTCAGAGGACGTTATAGAACATGGCAGTTTAGAGTCGTTCTCTGCTTTTCCTTTTGAATCATACATGAGGAAAATTAGGCGTTCAGTTCATTGCGGATTTAGTGCAGCTAAACAAGCCGCACAGCGATATGCGGAAGGAGTTTACTTTCGCAATATAGTTAATAACCATTCGTCTGACAATCTCAATGAGCCTGAGTTCACTTATAATTCTTCCAAGACAGTCATCAATTATAGAAACTCTAAGCTATCTACGACCAGGCCGGACAATGTTGTGATTGTCAATGGTCGACCAGGGTTTGTCACAGAAATAGCCGATGGAGGTCGGCTAAGGTTTAGAGCATTCCAGGACCCTGTAGATTTATTTACTGATCCTTTCCCCTCTAGCTCTGTCGGTATGTTTAAGTGTTCTACGTTAAGCCACGAGTGTCATTGGATTACTATAACAGACATAGTTTGTAAGTGCATTTGTTTGCGAACGCAGAATTATGAGGTCATTATCCCCCTATTGCATACATTTAAATAATAAAAGTGACATCATTTCTCAATAACTGTCGCAAAAATAGCACTTCTGGTAGTAGGTGTCTGTTGGTTAGTGCTTCGGTTTCCTCCATAACGATGTGTTAAGGAATGTTCATGAAAGTAATACCTTTTTTACGCTTGAGCTTTCAATTACAGCATCAATACGCAAAGTACATATTAATTAATGATAAGGAGAAGAAGCAAGTGATTTGCATTCCTAATAAATGGCTCTTCAACAACGAGCATTATGTTTTTCGGGATGATGTTACAGATAATGACATCATTGATGGTGTGGATGTTGATAGTAAATTCAAGTTGAGAAAAGGAACCGTATTGCATGGTTTTGGTAAGTTGTAATTACTTTTAATTAACTGTTTTTAGATGACTACCATGTAGCCCAGGAGATGAAGAAGTGCTTAACCTCTGTGCTCGGTTACATGAACAAAGATGATGAAACTATCCCGTGTGAAGCTGAAAAGCCAAAGAGGTAATTTGTTCAGCTTACTAAATCACTTCAGTGTTAGGGCTGCCAAACGTAAACTATGTGACTATCTATGCACCTCTGAAGAACTAGAGGTTGCTGAGGTTGAAGCTGGATTTGCCCCTGTTGAATTTCCAGTTGTCAACATTTTGACAGGAACGTTTTCCCCAATAGCCAATTACGTACCTATTTTATCTATACTCATAAATTAGTTCATCAAAAGCCGAGCTTTCATCACCACCCGTTCCATGTACATCGACCGCAGTAGATAAATCGTAAATTGCATTTACTGTCTTCCTGATGACAAAAGGTTGGGCGGTGATATCCATAAAACGTTGAGAATGCTGCTGAAGGCGGTCGGTGATCTTTCTCGTAAGATGGATAAATTGATCACTTACAACGAACGCTTATCCATGGGTGTAACTGACAGGCGTACGGAGCCCGTAGACACTGCAGCTATCGCATTTCCATTACGAACGCATGAGGACTTGCGTTCTTTAGAAGCTGCGTTAGATAACATCCAGTTCCGGGATTACTTCGTAAGTTGTTACAGGTATTTGAACGAATTGTAGGTGGGAAGATTAAACGTGTTCCTCTGTAACGATCCTCGGAAATCAGCGAAAGCTTGTCTGAGTTACGTGCTTTCGCCGGAACTGGCAGACAACTACACTTTGCACGGAACTAAAAAAAAATTGGGTATTAGTAAATACAAATTTTACTCAACCATTCAAAGTAAGTACACACTATTGCATTAACACATTGATAGGTGTTCTGTGTTCCCATTTTCGAAGTGCGACCTGTACGGAAAAGGATTTGATACACGCCATGGGTACAGCAAGCCAGGTTTTCTTGCATGACGCAAGAGATAAAGTTTATAAACGCGGATGGCGATCCAAAGAAAAGGTTAGCAAAAGCAATAATGCATATTGCAGTTCGATTATTACTTTGTGATCAATGTTTATAGTGATAACACTTTTGTCATATTCCTATTGTTTTCAGCTGGCTTCGCAGGCTTTATCTGACGTAACTGTAAGTTATTTGTTCGGATTACTAAAAGCATTGTCTAACTTTAAATTACGCCATCTGTGTTTTACATTTGTTCATATGTGATTGTAAACTAAAATGTCTTTTTTCATTTTTTTAGAACCTAACAAACCATAGTTCAACTTCTGCCTAACGTGTAACAGAAATGGAACAATGATAAACGTCGTATTATTAAATAATCTGTGATATTTTATTAACTATAATAAATATTAAAATATTTCAATAACTGGTGTTTTAATAAAACCGATAAATGCATTGACGTTAAGTTTATTTGGCAAGACGTAGTTGGCTAAAAATAATCTAATATCACAGTAAGAAATGTACGTAGGTATTCTCGCAAGGTTTTCCGTGATGTCTGGAGATTTCGGTATAGGTTTTGCGTTAAAACGGTTACGTGGAAGTACCCCAAAGTGTGGGGAATAACCCTAAAGTTTTGGGAAATTTCGGGGAAATACCCATAATTTTGTGGAAATTTAGGGGTAAAACACAAAATTTGGTGTAAATTTAGGGAAAAAACCCAAAAGTTTTGGGAAATTTCGGGGAAATGCCCATCATTTTGTGGAAATTTAGGGGCAAAACACAAAATTTTGTGTAAATTTAGGGGAAAAACACAAAAGTTTTGGAAAATTCCGGGGAAATACCCATAATTTTATGGAAATTTAGGGGAAAAACACAAAAGTTTTGGGAAATTCCGGGGAAATACTCATAATTTTGTGGAAATTTAGGGGCAAAACACAAAATTTTGTGTAAATTTAGGGGAAAAACCCAAAAGTTTTGGGAAATTCCGGGGAAATACCCATAATTTTGTGGAAATTTAGGGGAAGAAATCCCCAAGGTCTGGGGAAATTTTGGGTAAATCCCCAAAGGTTGGGGAAATTTTGGGGTTTTTGTGCCATTTCCCCAAAATTTCCCCAAAGTTTATAATGGCGGCTTCCCCAAAATATCCCCAAAATAGGTAAAATTTTCCCCAAAATTGGGAGCTTGGGATAGACATCTGGCTTACTGAGTATTAAATACGTGGATTTATTTCCATTGATAATTTCTGCTCTGGATTGTCAGAATTTAAACTTCTTGTAATTATATTGAAGCAAATATTGTCTGGGTTATAACCGAGTTCTCTATATTTGACCACGAACAGTGTGTCTGGTGTAACGTGATCCAGTTTTGGCATTGCATATCGAAAGAGTAACTAGTATAGTGGAAATGCAACGCCGGCCGCCGGTTGTATAAACATATAAAAGTATTATACAGTGATAAACAAAAGATGGTTTTACTCTGCCATGATTTTGGAGCTAAAACAAAACTGTTTGCCGACGAAACATGGAAATAGCATGCGCTGACGGTTGATAATTTCACACAAGAAATTAA